TTCAGAGGATGAAAGCACTTGCCAAATAAGGAGTGCGACTGGCCCCAACTTCACAGCTTGCCATTAAGCACCCTGCACCCCCCACGAGCAGCCCCTCTCCTTCCAAAAATGCATACATCTCCACATTCTGGTTCTGGCGGGGTGGAGCTGTAGCGTCTTGTGGTGAATAATAGATGGGATCCAGGCTAAGTCTTTTTATGCCGGGTCCTAAAGTGTAGCCCCAGGGCCGCTTGTGTTGGCATTGTATTATGATGCAGAAACAGCAATAAAAGAAAAAAGATTTCTGAAATCCTGTGTGAGATCTTAGAGGGCAATGGTCTGATTGGAAGTTTGAAATGTTAAGTCTGTTCCCCATTTGGTAAAGTCCAGGTTAAGAAATGGATTAAGATCCGATTAAAATGTTGGGGACCATTCTTAATCCGGTGACCACCACATGTTATCACAGCATGGTGGTGCATGGGGTAAGAAATAACCTGGTGAATATGACCTTGCTCATTAAAACGCAGATTTACACACTTTTGCGCTACGGCTATGTGAAAGTGAAAGTAATAAGTACTACACTGGAGCTTCTACATGGTATTCATCTGCGCCATGGAGAGTGAATTCAGTGAATTGGATGTTGATTATATAAAAGTGTTACGGATGCTAAGTATCAGAGCTAATACTGAACTATGTGACATCTCTGAACATCTGTTAACTCCCGGTTCGCATCGACGGATGAACTGTATCATTACCAGCAAGCATGGGACAAGAGTGGTCTGATGGTTTGGGAGTTTGGTTAAATTTCTTTGGTACAGTCAAAGTCCTGGTTCTGGTCTTGCTCAAGTTTAGGACTGACACACACAGTTCTCTCTTTTCGTATAAGTTTTCTCTTTTTAGGTGAGAACAGAGCATTAGTTCATGATGTGCTTTGAGGCGGCACAGTAGCTGAGTGGTTAGCACCCTCGCTCTTCCGCACCTCTGGGTGTTCTGGTTTCCCTATCTTTAAAAAGAGTCTGAGATCTCAATGGAACTTTCCTGGTTAAATAAATATAAATAAAAACAGGTATAGATGTAATAATAGTCATGGTTTTTCATTACGGCAATGTTTTGGATAGAATTAAAGCGGGTCGACCAGGGATCTCTTTAGTCGATCAAGCCTTTCTTGGCACAACTACAGCCCAATAGATTTGCACTGATTTAGCCCCAATTTAGAGCTAGTTTTCCCCACTTAAGTCTTAGTTAATTTAGTCCTGACAGACCTGGTTAAATCCTGGTTTACCCTGTCTCTGGAGCCATTTGTCGTATACCCCAATCCCAACACTATTAGAAGTAACAACAGCAGTGAGAGCAGAATTTAAAGTGGCTACTAAGGTCAAATTACATCCAAGATTGTACAAGATTCAGACAGATAAATAACAGGAGAAAGGGGGTAGTGGAACCAAAGCCGGAATAGATTTCATGTTCTACCAATAGGCCTTAAGGTCATTGTTCCGGTGCCTAAATTGTTTAGGACCAAAAATCAATACCGAAGCATTTGCTGGGTATGGCCTCACAGCAGAGAGAGAAATTTACATTTTACACCTGCTATTTGACACTTTGATTCATTATGGAAGCATCCGGGGCAGGAATTATGAAAATGAACTTGTGTTGTGGTGGGTAGCCAGGCAGTCCATTGATTTAACCAACACAAATATGCACAAGACACAAACACAGCAGCGAAGCAAATAGTCCATTCCATCACCATTAGCTGGGTGTCCTCGCCATATGCTCAGGGAATGTACGGTATGTGGAGGAAAGACTAGGTTTTTCATTATAGACAATGCTTCCTCTAATACATTCAAGGAGAAAAGTAAAAAGTGCCCCTTGCTTTCTAATGGTAGTCTCTCTTTTGGTTTGTGCCATTTCTGCTGTATTTGAACCACCAGCACAAGAGCCAGACATTACAAAGTAAATACAAAATGATGCAGAATAAGGTGATGAGAATCTGGTGAATTTCAATTTCATAATGCCTCACAAGGATTACTAAATGTAAATGTAGGAATTAAATCTACATAAGAATAACTTTGCTGTGTGAGAGAATAAACACGGGACTTATTTACAACCATGGGTGTAAAAATTATTAAAACTGAGGACAGGGTTTAATATCTTTTAATAGTCCATAAAAGTTTGCATATTAAATAGGACACTTAAATAAAATGACAACTGATTAATTGTTTTTGGACCATACGCAGACTAAAACAGGTGTGAACAGATTTGATGACAACATAGACTCAAACAGAGCTGTAATCACTGCAAAATAAACAAACTCTCTGATCAAGAAAGAATCATTCAAACGATAATTGTCAGACTATAATCGAGTATCAAAATTAATTACAGCCCTAATCTCAAAATCTTTACTGACTGATGTGACACTGTGACCATCTCACTGCCAAAGCTACAGTTTGCCTTATCCCATACAATAAAAGACTTTGGGGTCCAGTAAATGATCAATCCTGCTAAACTGCGGGTGCAAAGTAAAATAGCCTGTATCGCATGAGTATATATATGTATGCTCAAATCTTAAAGGGGTTAAACCAGCTTGAGAGCTTTTAATAATCTATCAACAAAACACATTAGATTAGGGCCAATAAGCTTACACCATGAACAGTGGCACATACGATTAAATGCTTATTCTAAAATACAAATGCATTCAACGTTTCATACTTTATTATAATTTTACATTACATCATTATCACAGACATTCATTGGGTTCTGAGCATATGGCTCTCTCAGTTTAATAAAATAGAAATTTGTAGTCCCACAGTATAGTCCTACAGCCATTTGTGCCTTGATTGATGTGCGCTTGTATTCTTATTGATAACCCTAATTGCTTGTCCATCTGCTGTCACATCCTCATGTACTGTATGAGGACACTGGTACTAGCTGATTGTGCAAATGAGAAACCTCCCACAGTCACGGCTCCGCCCACAGACCCAGTAAGGCGTGGGATTGGAGCAAGGCAAAGGTCAGCGCCAGTGACATCATTAAAATGTGACATCATTAAAGTGTCCCTCTGCTATGTTCAACCACTGCCTGAGGGTCTCCCTCACCTCTTCACATGGGACCAGCACGAGTGTGTGGTCTGTACAACCTGCTGGTTCATACTTAGATCAGAGTATAGATCAGCTTCAAGACTGGTTTGAACAAGTCGAATGTCAATTCTTTAAAATGACAAAGGAATAACACTGGCAAGTTTTGGAAGTCCTATAAATTACAATTGAAATATCAGAGTATGATTTATAAAATGGTATAACAAGAATACAACAAACGACCTTCTCATTACACAACTCCACTTATCTGCAGTGGCAGAAAACAATAAAAAGCATTTCACCACTGGTGAATTGATGGTGATTGGAGGCAGACCCAGACCCAGACAGTGTGATCTCTGACTTACGGGCACTTAGAAACAGCCAATGTGGACAACTATAGCCCACATCAGTGATATACGAGTTGTGACGCGGCTATGAATTAAAGCAATAAAATGACAAAAGTATTTGAACAGCCAGATGGACTAGTGGCGAGACACCATTTTTTCAACCTTAGACGTCTACGACTCCCAAAACAAGACAAAGCCAAGTGTATACATGCAAAATGAGAGGCACTGCATGGAGGACACCTCAAAGAGCAGAGAAGATGAGAAAATCCCCCTCCTGCTTTTTGCACACATCAAACAAAGATATCTATCATAGCACGCTCCGACCCCCCGCTCCACTTCAGAAGCACTGACTGTGGGTTTAGGCGTGACAGAGAATCATCTGTAAATGCACAAGCGCAAGAAAAATGATGATGCTTTGCTGTTTTTATAATTAAGAAGCAGTTGGGGAAGTGAAGCAATAGGATGGAGACAGTGCTCTTTCTCAAGGGTTGGATTTTAGTAGGATTTTGTAAAAAGTGGTGGCATGTGGTACTCGCCCTTCCGTCACTATACCTCATGATGTATGTGATTGATCATACTGTCATCATCATAATGCTGTCATGGGTCTTCTGCATACATTTGATTGTCTTCTAACTTTCAAAAGAATTCATGATTGTGAAAGTGTTATAGATTTCAATATTCTTTACCGTCATACAGTATTTTAAAAGCTTTACATAAGTGATCATATTTTGCTTTCCCATGTCTAGGTATGAAAATGTACATATAAATATTGGTTTTGCTACGTTTTTACTACTGTGTATTGTTTTCAATTGCATCAATAGTTAACAATAAATCAATTATTCATACCAAGACCTATATTTTATGCAGCACCACTGTATTCATTTGAGCAATGCATTATACATAATGTTAGGCTTAGCTTTGTCTGGCTATTATTACCACTGCTGCAATGATGGAATTGGCTTATTGATGTGAGGGCACTAGTTGTTCTGTATGTCCAACACTGAGCCGGTAATGAGAGATGATCAATGATGCGAAAGGCTCCGGGCGGACAGGTGGATCTGATTGGTTGGCTCATATTGATATCCATGAATTGACCAAGACACGTTTAATGGGATGCTCATCAGTAGTCTCGTTTGTGGTAAATAAGGACCAAGGTACTGTCTGGAACAAGGGGTTTTCACGTGGTTCAGTCCAATCCAAATGCTAAATCTCTTGTGTTATATAAATCAAGAGAAATGCGGACAATTTTTCAGTCAGCTGCCATAGAATTAGGCCACCTCTACCGCCCTTGTCTTCTTTTCAACAAGTGAATAATGTGTGTCAAATATTCATTCATCAATTGTCAAGTACGCAGAGAGACAGTGCTACAATATTGCCACGCGTACAAAAGCCTAACGAGGGGTCCTTAAAATAGATATGATGCACGGGAAAGCCACCTCACCATCTCCTGAGACACGCATTGACACAAATGGATGCAATATTACGCACGGGTGAATCAAGATAAGTTTGAATGAAAAAACGAACCAAAACCCTAAAGAATGTGTAATAGGTATAAAAACTCATTATCTATCAACTATTAGACTACACATGTGTTCATATATACCTTCGGTTGCATAGTTGTGGTCGCGAAGGAAGCTGCTGTTGATTTTCCGCGTGTCACTGTCTTCGTCCATTGAGAAATCGTCTGGTTCCGAATGGTGAATCTAGCGTCAGAGGTGTTCCCATCATCCCTCGGCCCGGTACGGTCAGCAGGTGGGCTGTGGGGTCCGCTGGGGGGCTGTCATGGCTCAAGACCTCCGCGCAATGATCAGAAATGATACCTTGCGTACGTGCGTGTCTTGGCAGAAAGGCGCACGGTGAAATGAGCGATCCTTGGTAAGATTAGATTAAGTCCAGCCTCAAATGCGAAACGATGGTATAGATTCCAGTATGGTGTGTAGGAAAAAAGCTGAAGATGCTGCGTGCCTGTAAATGTCTTCTGGAGGATTGGAGTTTAGGCAGCTCGATTTGTCCCCTCCCCGTGGATAATGCGTCAACAAGCGCGCTCCAAACACTTCACGATTCTCCTGTCACCCAGCCCAGCGTTGTCGCGTTTAGTGTAATCCTCGTGTCTTGTCAATTTTGATCCAACAGGGGTTCCTCTGTATCTCCTCTCTGGTCTCCTCTCATTCATTCACGTAGCTGACTCACGGGCGGATAGCGCAGAGCAGCACTTGTAGTTCACCAGAGCACTTCTGATGCTGCTGCTGCTGCTGCTTCTGCCTCTGCTGCTGATGGAGCCGGGCCCCTCCCATCCCGCCTGCAGGCTGCCAGTGTGAAAACCACCCGCTCGATCTAAAGCGGCAGCCTGTGGAGCGAGACCCAGTTCAAGATCTGTGCACTCCAAATCCTGACCACCAACCTGCACGGTGCGTGTAAAGCTGACAGCTGCCTTCTGCTCTCATAGTAGCAGCTTGTTGGTCATTCGCCCACACCTTGTTCCATCCACACGCGTTGTATTCACCAAGTCTATTATTAGAATGTGTATGTTCCATATGTGCAATGTTGTGAACTAAATCAGACTACAACATGGTGTCTTCATCGCATTAGAAATCATGTTTTCTTTTGAATATTTGTAAAAAAGAGCTCTGTGAGTCACTATTTGACACTTTGGGCTGCAGGAGCTGATTGGCTGAGTGAAGGTGGTCCTGAAGCTGTGAGTGTGGCCAAAAACTACATGTGAAGACCATAGGTGAAGACTGACCAAACACAACACTTTAACTCAACAAGACTATATGAACCAATTTGAATCAGAACCTATTTGTTTTGAAAGCGTGTCGAGTTCTCATTATAGAGGTTTCTACAATAATTGCACGTATAGGCGGCAGGTTTATAGGTGATATTTGTAAATATACAAACGCAAAACAGGATTAGATCATGGGGGAGAGATTTAGGCAAATAGATTATGGAGTGAGTGGAAAATGTAAAATGGCGACGCTGACTAATTAGATTAGTAGGTCTCAGTCTGCAGCACTTTCAGGAAAGTATTCATTTCCTTGTGGAGTTTAATAACAGCAAATGCAGCATATTCACTGGGACAGTCTTTGGATTAGTCTGGTATAATGCATAGGTCTGCAAGTTACTGACTGTTCTGCTGACCTGCTAACATAATAATATCAAACTAATTACATATAGGCCATATCTAATCCACATATCTGCACAAAACAGTTGAGTTCCAAATTATTGAGACATATACTGTATATCCAAACTCTGGTAACACTTAAAGCTGGGGTATCTAACTTTCTATAAACACAAAAATGTTAGGTACTGCAGTTTAACAATTGGGTGTTACAATTTGTTAATAGCCATCAATACGAGATGAAAAATCTTGCCATTTAAATCATTTCACAAGGCTTGAGTGTCCTTGTCTTCGCAGCAAGATAAAACCCAATCTTATTATTGTGATCTATGCCTCAGACACAAAAATCGGCTCTCCGTCAAAGCATATATTTTTGGATGTGAAAATCAGTGTGACTGTGCTTGCGTACTGCGCCCATGCCCTTATCTAACCCCTTTAACCCAAATCTCCCCGCGTCCACAAAGGGAAACCAGGGTATCCCCCCACTCGCCGCTGCAGCAAGCCTCAACTCAGCACCACAGCGAATAAAGAGATTGTGGACCCCCCTCTCTTAAATGCATTAGCTCTCTAATCCACAGGACATTTGCACATCCAATCCTGCGCTGGACTAATGGGGGTCTGGCTGCGCACTAGGCTGGCTATGCCTCGTCGAAAAAGCAGGACCTTCCTACACATGCTATTTTACAGCCCATCATCTTTGAGCCTCCACTAGAATACATTACAGCGCATTATCCAGGCAGGGGTGTAATGAAAGCCGCTGGAGCATCGTTGAGGATTCACCAATTCACATAGTTTTATATTTACACTCTTGTGCTCCACTAATGAAATTCACAGAGAAACGCTGCCATCCTTGACCTCTCGGTTCTGACTGAGTGGACAGTGGTGTTCCCCATCTCTATCAATATTTAAACAAAGGAATCAGCATTCAGACGAAAAGGCTGAGTTACAGATGAGCAGCGGGACAGAAAGATATTGAAATACCAAAACAAAGCTTCGCAAATGGTTAAGTGAAGATATTCGAGATAGATGTATAATCTTGACATTACAATTTATTTAATCCTTACAAAATCCCATTATGTGAAAAGAAAAATACATATAGGGACACACATTAGTAATCACAATACTGTAGCACCACAATGGGGTGGCTGTTCTGTAAAGAGGCAGAGTGTTATGTTCTTAGGCAAGACACTTCAGCCGCATTGGAAAACAATATACTGTTTGTAAATGCAAGTGTTTTTTTTCACCCAACACCCAAGAAATCCTTAACAAAAATGAATAGATAACTTTGTTTGGAAAGATACATAGAAAGCGGTCCTTTACCTTGTTGTAATATAAACTAACATGACAAGTGCAGGTCAATTCTGGCAGTTAAAGGCACGCATGTATTGGATTGTCTAATGATGCAATAATTATATGCTACTCGAAGAGCACAGAGGCAAAGCAAAAAATCACTAAATCACAGACTCACTGATAATAAATTTCACTTCCTGAACGTGTAGCACATCTCATCTATCCCAAATGCACCATCCCATAGCACAGTAGAACATTATTACTAAGAGATTTCACGTATTACATCACCTGCTCACGTTCCTTTGCTCATTCATTACAATAGGAACTCATGTTGTCTGAATGACCCATTACTTGTGACATCATCCTCAAATAAAGGCAAATGAGCTCTAATATTTAGGGATAATCAACAAATCAAGGCGAATGGAGAACACTGTTGGCGATGCTTACAAATCCGAGCTAAAGGGAAATGGCATATGGGGGAACCAAAAGAACTGCCCACTAAACAACATGTCCAATAGAGGTTTCAAACAAGGAGGCAGAGGAACAGGCTCTTAGAGGAGTTGAGAAGCAAACAAGTGGTAGTTTTTTACTCACTGAACAATACTACATATGGAAAAGTTGAGCTGACTTTTGGTTTTGTTTGTGTTTGTGTGTCGCTGGTTGTCAGGTGCATGATGTCAACTGTTGACTGTGCCATTCTGTAAGTCTGTATCATGGCCCTGCGCAAGAAGAAGCAGCAAGTCCAACTGTTACACCTGCAGCTGTATATGAAATCCTGAGTTATTGCAATTATTCTTAGAGCGTTTAGTCGAGGGGTTTCGTCGGTTTCTTCGCCCTGGGCTTCGTTGCTTTCCTTTTCCCAGACCCGCTTCTTCTCCTCTGCCGCTCATTACACATGATCTGGGTGTCCATTGGGTGAAGGCGAGTGACAGCATGTCTCCAAACCAGCTGTGAAGCAGACTTGTATAGGAAGGCTCTTGGGGCTGGTGAGCAGAATTGTAGAGCGTGTCCTCAATTCTCCTCGATATGGACAAAGTGGGTTAAATTGCGATCGCGCAGCCAAACACAGGGACACAATCACGTGGCAATGATACTTTAGTCATGCTCAATTGGTTTTCTTGATGTGTGGTAATTGGTTGACCTGGAGATTCTGATGTAGGGCTAATAGAGGAGAGGATGCTGTCTGCATAACAAGTAACATATATGATGCAGACATGTTTTGACGTAAGGAGAGTCTGTATGTTACAATATAGGTGGACAGCTTTGTTCCAGGTTATAATATTTTCCCTCATCATTAATTCATTATTTTTAGTGATTTATGCATGTTTGACGTTTTCAAGAGATTACTTTGCCATAAAACTGAATTTACAGCGTTCAAAACATGTTTATGAAGGCTACACACATTATTTAGAAGCATCAGATATTGGTTTTGGCACAAAGCAAAACAAGATTCCTAACATGAACTGCAGAGGTGTTCAACATTGTCCGGAGAGGGTGTTTTTGATAAAAAAAATTCTAAAATGTTCAGAATACAAAATATTGAATGATCCATGGGGGTGACAGATCATGCTGTCCAGACAAAATGATATGTCTTTTAATATCCTTCCAATGATTTCAAGACATTTCTGTTAACTCTGCACCCTCAAGATCCCTGAGATCACACACACACACACACACACACAAAACATACTAAAGGCTCACGCACTCACACACAAAACACACTAGGGCCATAACACAAGGCAAACCTTTTTTAACATCTGTTTATAGTCACAAATTGCATTTTCAATGACTGGTTCATCAAACCAGTGTTCATAAAATATTTGAGCATATACATAAACACATTGCAAAGCTTAAAACAAGAGACAAGCCCCATCCAAAAAAAGATGTACTTGAACACATTGGGAGTCATCACTGTTGGCACCAGCTACTAACCACTCTAATTTCCCTGTCTGTTCCGTGGGTAAATCTCCTCTGTTATCAAACAAATAAGGATAATAATAATCGTTCAAAGGCACTGGGACCAGCCTTTAAACATTGTACCGCATTAGCCGTTCAACCCGCGCTGGCATTAGGAGAAGCTCAACACATGGAGGGTAATAGGATTGCCCTGGCAGTCCATCTGTCAGTGGACTGAGCAGCAGCAAAAGCACAGCCCCCCCAAAACCAGCCACCGCGGACCACATACACCTGTTCTGTTTGCCCTTTCCCTGCTTTCTCTCTGGAGACATTTGTTTAGTCTTGAACAAGCAGCTTTCAGCACATGAA